ATTCACTTGCAGCCCAAAGCTTTGTTTCTCAAAGGAAGTTCAACCTATTTCCAAGTATGGTTATTTATAACGGATTCAAATTCATTATTAACCGCTTCTTTCCAAAAATGAGATTCAGGAATGGACATTGCATCATTAAACGTCATTTGATCATTTTCTAGTAGATACGTTAGAAAATCTAAACAAAAGGTCTTATGAATCATTTGTCTTTTACTTTGCCTTGGTTCTTCATCTACTTGATGATTACCATCATCTTGATAGTTTTCATTCGCAGTATCATAAGTTCATTTGTGCGAGCTTAATTCTTCTCTTTATAAGGAAATATATTTTCAAAGAAAATAACGTTCCTTAATTCAATGATAGTACCTACATGTCTATCAAGTATTTTAGATTTATGAACCAAAAATCGATATGCACTACTATTGTTTGCATATCCGATAAAGATACAATCTATTGTCTTAGGTCCAATCTTTACTTGTTTAGATTTAGTTATACGTACATTTGCTAAACACCCCCCCCCCATACTTTAACATATTTGCAGGAATGTTTCCGACCTTTCCATAGCTCATAAAGTGATTCAGCATTACTCTTGTGTGGTATTTTATTAAAGATATGATTTTCCGAAAGTATAGCTTTTCCCCATAAGTTTTGAGGTAAACCTGAATTAATCAATATTACATTCATCATTTCCTTAAATATTCGATTTTTGTATTCAGCAACACCATTAGATTGATGTGAGCATGGTACCGTAGTTTGATAAATAATACCAAATTCTGAACAAAATTCTTCAAATTGTGTGACATATTCTCCACCTCGATCACTATGAATCGTCTTTATTCATTTTTCAAGTTGATTTTCAACTTCAATTTTATAGTCCATAAACCCTTTCAAAGCTTCATCTTTACTTTTTCAAAAAAGTATACATAACAGTATCTTGCACAATCATCTATGAATGTAATGAAATACTTTTTACCACATTTTTTGAAACAAAATAAATTAAAAATTACGTATTTTTTTG